GCTTGATCCGCTCGGAGCCGCCCCGATCACCGCGGCACCGTCTGGAGTCGGGGGCTCGGGATGAGAGGACAGCTCGTGGGCTGTGTAAGTAAAATTGCAGAGTTGGCAATTTTCTTCCCGCAGCATCTCTAAAGTTTGCCAATCCGGAACGCAGCGTTTGGTTTCCCAGCCCGAGGAAAAGCGCTATTCTGGGCATTTCATCAGTTTGGATGCTTCTTCCTCCTGGCTTGGCTGGAGCGAGGAGCTTTAATCCCGCCGCAAAGAATACAAGAATACGGGGTGGAAAGTGCGCTCCGAGATCTGCCACAGCTCCGATCGCCTCGCTGGACCTGCCAAAGCCACCGGCACAGAGGGTGACATTGACCTGCTGGGGATGTCACGATGACACCGTTCCTCACTGCCATTGAACAGCCCGGCTGAAATTATCCCGAGGATCAACTTAGAGAAAAGCCAGTAGATGGTGCTTGAGAGAGCAGACACTTTCCTAAAATATGTTAAGCCCCACAAATGGCACCGCACTCTGTAGACAATTATAGTGGTCCTTAAGCTGTGAAAAGCCAGGAAATAATTTCTGCAAGCTTCCCCCATGGCCATCAGTTTATTAGCATCTTTAATCTAGAAGTCAAATGGCTATTATGTTTAAAAATAAAATAAACTAGCCCCTGCTCACTCAGCGGTGTTCAATCTCAACAACTGGAAGTGCCTTCCAGAAACAGCCAAATGCAGCTACACTTAAATTAGACTTATGGCAGTAATGTTATCACCAGCACTGTGACTCTTGGAGAAATAAATTTTATAATCTTGACATAGATCTCCATGCAGAGACGAGATAAACACACAGAGTACCCAGCATTTCATCTTTACCATTATGCAAAATATCCAGTGCTGTGCTTTCCAAATGAGGACTCACAGAGTCTGCTTCTAAAAATGGAAGTTCCTCACACTGAATTCTGTCAGGAGCTCGATTGCTGGTGTCTCACATCCTCAGTTCCAAGCAGGTAGGATTCATTCATCACTGTAACAATTGCAGCACCGGCTGCTTTCATAACAGTGCCCCAAGATCAGCTCTAAAACTGATCATCACATTTCCACACTCTGATAACTGAATACCTCATGACCACGTTCTCATGAATAAATCTTCATTTTCTACGATGAGTAATATCGGTGAACATTTAACTCTGACCCTGAACATGCTGTTCCTTATTTCTAAGAAGTTTTGCTCATTTAACTTGAAAGCTCCTGTGATTGTTTCTTCTCCCATGACTGTTCAGGGCATGCTTTGCTCCACAAGCTGGTCAGTGCCTCTCTGCCAAATATCTTAATTAGGACTAAGTCTACATACTGCAGACTTCTAATTATATTGAAATAGATATATTTTTTATATATATAATTATATATATAATATAAATTATAATTATTATATATAATATATTAGATATAATAATAATTATAATATATAATTTATATATAGTATAAATTATATATTATATATAAATGATATATAATATAAATTATAGATATAATATATAATATAAATTATATGTTATATATAATATAATTATAATATATAATTTATATACAATATAGATTATAATATTTTAAATATATATATTATTATATATATAGATTATATATATAGATTATATACATACATACATTATATATATACATATATATGTATATATATGTATATATATATATATACACACATATATATATGTATATCTATATACATATATATATGTGTGTATATATATATACATTATATATATATATAGATCTATATACAATATAGATTATAATATTTTAAATATATATATTATAATATATATAATTATATGGAAATATAATCCAGCTGTGCTTTCACTCACACTCCTAGAAGCATCATGGCACAGCACAGTTCATCCTAAGGGATGAGTGCATTGAACAACAAGGTGTTCAATGGGGGAAAAAAATTGCTTTGAAACCTGAATCTGCTTTCTGACTGGAAAAGAGAAAGAAGAAAACAAGCAAAATGTAAAATGCATGGCAGCGAGCAGCTCTCCAGGCCCCCTCCTCGATGGTCCATCCCCTGGGTGCTCGGGAAGGGGTGGGATGCTTTCAGCACGCTCCACCCCTTCCAGCGGAGCTGCGAGAGAAATCAGAGCAGAGACACACAGGAAACACAAAGCCAGGCTGGAAAGAAAATCTGGAAAATTTCTGGAAGGAAAATCAAGAGAATACAGAAGAGAAAAAGCGAAAAAAAAAAAAGGTAGGCGCTACTCTGCACCTGTTTGAAAAAGGGCATTTCCTGTTTTCCACATCAATTAAATACTATTAATATTTAATAAATCCCAGTTTAATAAGTGAAGCAGCGTGATATTTAACTAACTGAGCTCTTGCCTTCCTGCTTTTGAAGAGATTCCCAGTGCAGATAAAGCTGCTGACTTTCGGTTGTTTCAGGAGAGCTGCAGCGTTCCGGGCTGACAGCCTCGGGCTCTCGCAGTTCAGCCAGGAGGAGTTTGCACAAAGGACATTGGCAGAAGAATTTAGGAGTTATGGACAATTTAATAACTTGGTGATAAGGAAAGGAGACACAGAGAACTAGCTGCAAAAGGAGAATTTATCTAATATTTATCTCATTTCCCAGGAGGAGAAGAGAGTGTGCCTTTCACCCAGGGTACAAAGCATGAGAGTGGAGGGACACAGAGGAGGAGGAGGAGGAGGAGGAGGGGGGAGTCATCTTTGATTCTCCTTAAATGTGGCCAAAAACCACAGGAAATACTGGGAATGATTCCAGAAACAAAGACTTTAAAATATTCATTTCCTCCAATGCCTTCAAAGACTACAGCATCTTACTTTTGTTTTCTTTTGGATTTTTAGCTCTTTTCCCCAAAAACAAAGTCTGTTCTAGAGACTACAGCATTTTGCAGTATCAACACTTGCTGTGCACAGCTAGAACCTGCTTGCACAGATGAATATATGAGATAAACTTGATTAAGCCATGGCAAAGAAAATATGAAAAGGACATTTTTAAAAGATGTTTCTTGCTACCCCCTGTAAATGATCTGCAGTTTCCTGCTGGTTTCAGGTAGCTGGGGCTTATTCCAAGATATCAGTTAGGCTGGCTGTCCTCCCACCAAAAAAAAAACCCAACCAAAAGAAACAAAAAAAAACCCCAAAAAATCAAAATAATTAAAAAAAAAAAGTGGTGTTGCCTTGTTTTTGGGCATTTTAGCAGGCAGCTCAGAAATAAGTTCTTAACAGGCAGGAATTCCAACAATGCAGCTCCACTGTGATCTAAGTAGTTCCACTGAACAAATCTTTCCTTGAAAGCTTCTTAGCTACCAGAACCTTGTTTCTTACAGTTGTGAGAGCTTCAAACCTTCTCCACAAGTACAAACAAAGATCACCAGTGATACCAACAAACATTGGCACTGTGGGATGCAGAACGAGCCTGGGAGCTGTAAAAATGAGCCCCCCAGCTGCAGGAGTGAGCACAATGCGGGTTAGGGCAGGAACCAAGGGATTGGAGCAGTTCAAAAAATTCACTTTGGCTTTGGGAATGCTGCTGATTTAGTTCAGGTTCAATTGAAATTAATGTTGAAAATCAGTTAATTGAAAATCACTTGTACCACTTTTAAAAAGGTTTGCTGTACAATATAAAATGTTTCCTAAGAGGTAAAAAATAGGTTGAAAGTGTATAAAAAGTGTA